TGGGATGGGGAAACAGTAGACCACATACTTCCTCTCGCTTCTTAAGGTGGTCAAACAAGGACAGCAACACTTCTGTCCCTTTCCCTTACTCTTCATCCCCAAACCTCCAAACCAAGTCACTAAACAAAAGGCCTGAAAAGAGTATTGAAATCTACAAAGTTAAAGTCAGAAGAAAGGACCCCATACTCTCACATGAATGACAACAGAAGGTAAATCAAAGGGGGGTCATGGATTGAGCAGGGAGATAAGACTGGATTTCTAAAATCCTTTTCGATTCTGTGATTCTAAGTAGTTAATCTGTGCCCTACGATTAATAAGTATCATCAGTGTTTACTGTCTACCCTCATCAAGACAGCAAGACAGGAGGTAGGTTACCTAAACTGCAGTAAATAAATTCCCTAGGTTCCAGTCAGAAAGATCCAAAGGAGAGTGATCAGGACACAAATTCCACTTTATGCTCTACACCTGATAAGTTGATGGAACAGGATATAAACTATCTTTAGGGAACAGAAGAAAAATAATATTGTCCTGCACAGCAGTAGCAATGAATGACAGAAAGGCTATGATAAAAGCAGACTCAATAGTTTCTGATAATAATTATAATGATGAGGGGCAACAATGTGAATCCTTTCTGTGCTTTCTGAAACCTTTTATACATCCTTTTAAAACACACAAGAAGTGGAAAGTAGCTTTCTCACTCCCAGTAGGTACAGGAAGAAAGCACAAGAGAAGAGGAAGGCTGAGAAAAGAGGAAGGTGAGTTCACTCAGGAAATGAAGAATGAAGGTGAATGGAAATTTCACTACCAGGTACCACAAAGGCAAGTCACCCTGAAAGGGGCAGAACGTCTCACAGAATTATCTATCTGATAGAAAGACAAAATGAAAGGCATATCCCTATCTACCACTTTAAAGAGAAAAATGGTCAAGTAATACATTACATGGAGAAAGGACACAGTCTCACTTCACCAAGGAAACAGATAAGTGTGAGGAGAATACTACTTACTATCCTAAAGCAACCACAGCAAGAGTTACTCTTAAGAGAGAAAGAAACAGAGGAAATTGTTTCCTGTATTCTGGAGGAAAATATCTGACTTAGCAACAAAGAAAAGGTTAAGAGGTGCCCACCATGTCTAGTTTTGTGTTCTATATAATACCTTGCACACTGCTGATACTCAAAATGTTAACTACACCTTCCAGACAAGGCACTTGCCTAAATGACCCAAAATGCATGCCCAAGCACTTAGAAAGAATGTTAATTTTACTTTTTTTCCTTCCTACACATTATAGACTACAGTAAACAACAACAAAAAATCCAGTATATTTTCTGTATAATTTTACAAGGCTAGATATATTAGAATAAATTAGGAGAAACCAGTCCTAATAAGAAGTGGAAAAGGACAAGGCCCAGTGATGCCATGCATACCAAAAGAACAGCAAGATCCAATCAGGTCTCTGAGCAAAACCACATGACCCCAGTAATGAGAGCATGAAGGGCAAGTACATTCCACTCTGTATAAAAAGACCTACTCTCAAAGAAGGGAGCTCAAGACAATTTGGAAAAAGTCAAAGTAGGGAAGGAGACAGATGAACCACCCTCCAAAAAAAGTGATCATATTATCTATTTCAATCAATCAATCAATAAACATTTATTAAGCACCTGATATGTACCAGACTACTGGACCCAGAAAAGAAGATCAGACATGCATAAGGAAACTTCCAGGGGCATACAAAGCATATCTAGATATAAAGGGGCATAAGAAATAGCTTCCCCATCAGTCCTAGGGTGATAGGGAATAAACTATAGCTATGAAACTAGAATTAGGCCATTCTCTCCTAGGCCAACAGAAGAGAAAGGCAGAACAATTTCAGCCCCAGTCTGGGCAACTAAAACTACAATACAAACTCAAAAAAAGGTTTAACCCCACCAGGGCAACTAATGAGTCTATATGCAGCTAAAAAATTAAGAACCAGAATGCCACTTGGCCCAAAAGTTTAGAATTTTAGAAGTGTGAGCTAAAAGAGACCTAAGAAATCAACTAATCCAAATGCTTCATTTTACTAATGAAAAATAAAAACCTAAAGGCACCACAGTTATCCAAGGTCATAAAGTAAAGTTAGTGGCACAGAGAGATCTAGAACTCAGGGTTTCCTGACAGTTCATATTCTTTCAGTATAATCAGACTGTCATACCAAAAAGGGTGAACCATTTCAGGGACAAAGAGCCCCCACAACCTAAAAGTTGAAGGAGTAGAAAAGAAAACTATGAAGGGATTATCTCCTTGGCCATGGACAGGAAGTACAGAATCGACAAATATGTCTCCAAGATGGCATACAGAAGAGTGCCATTACACTCATTCAGTAAAGGAAAACTTGATCCCATCTGACCTTGAGAAGAGGTTTCTATATGTAAATGAACCATCTCATCTATTGAGCAGTAGGGTGGGGAGATTCATTATCTCCCAGAAGTGGGAAAAATAGGTTCATCAAGCAGAAGGAAGTCATGTCCTTTAGGTCACTAGCCCACCCGTCAAAGAAATACAAGAGTTAGAAAAGGGAGGAAGGAATCCTCCACCACAAAAGAGAAACGAAAGAATTGAGAACCCTATACCATCTTTGTAGAAGAGGACTACCATATCTGGGGTGTGAGAGGAAACAAGTTAATGCTCTATTATCTGTGGTAATGGGCAACAAAGTACAACTATATGCCACCCACCAAAACCATAACTTTAGACAATACCTTCAACTTCCTGGTCTTACTAACCTTTTAAAAGGACCACAAAGTAATAGTAAAATTAAATGATTTAGTTTCAAATCTTTTCCCTTTCCCTTCCCACCCTCTGGTGGATATGTTAATAAGCAATAAATTATCCAAAAGGAAATCTGTGGAATGGTTAATAAAAGGATCTGAATAATCCACCAATGGAAATGCATTCACTTTGGAGCATAAGCTCCATCTAATACAACAGATATGTTAAGAGTATCTGGTTGTACCAAGGGTTGTAACACTATAGGGGGAAAAAACATAACTCCATCCTACTGATTCTAGATATAAAATGGACAATACTACCATTGTTGTCCAAAAGGAAAAAGCAATCCAGTTCTAATCTTTCTGTCAAGTAGGTGTGATTGATTAGACATCAATGGTAAGATGGAATCCAGAACTCAAGATCTAATATTAACTAAAACATCCAACTCAAACCCTCTCTCAGTGACATACCAAGGGAAAAGAGTTCACCTTGCCAGAGAAATGCCAAAGAGGCCCAAAAGCTCAGGGCCTGTCTAGAAGGTGCTTGTGCAGAGAGTAGGTCAGGTCAACACAACTGGTCAAAACAGAAAGGCCCTCCCACCAAGTGACAGCTGGTGGAAGCCACATCAGTTTTTGTGGCTACAACTGGAAAGAAAGACAAGATCAGGCAAAATACCTGAATGGGACAAAGTTCTGGTTCATTTTGCCCAAAAAGTAGAGGGCACCTCTCATTTGACAATGCAAGAAACAAGTCAATGCAAAGAAGAGGGTCCTTTTAGATAATACTGACTCCACATTTTCCTAGAGTTACAGGTGTTTTCACATACCCAAGGGCATTGTAGAAGAGCACCATAATAGAAACTACAAGGCCTCTCAATTATCCGAACAGGTGGGATCTTCAAATCTTTCTGAGGTCAGTCAGTACTTGTCCAAAGAGTAAATTAACCCTACTGACCTCCCACCTGGAGAACACAAAAATTCTCCCCACCTTGATCACAGAAGATAAAGACATCAAGGTAGGACAGTTTCTCCCTATAGGACACCAAGGAGAGAAAGCCAAACCCCTATATTCAGAATGCACCAAAGGAGAAGGGAGTACAAGGAAATATTTGAGACTCAGGAGCTTCAGGGACTGTGTGCTTTATTGAAAATTCACCCCCCTGCTGGCTCAACACAACACAATAGAGGAATTCAAGAGTGGGAAAGATGATAGACAAGTTAAGTAGCTCTTTGGCTAAGAGGTACAGATGATCCTTCTACTATTGATAAGATACAATGCATACACATGAGCATATGTCCAAATTCATGACTCCATACACACATCTATATTGTCACTTCACACCTCTAACTTACATTACCTAAGTGCATTTGTATGTACATAGTACATATCTAAGTGCATTTGTATGTACTACGTACATACAAATGCAAACTTTCCTGGCCTAGATGCCCAATGTGACTGCAAAGGATCACAGTATTGTCCTTATCCCAAATATGGGATAATGGGATATGAGAAGGATTCAGTCTTCCCACTGACTGACAGCTACAGAATCAAAAGTGGAAACACAAAGCCCAAGGGGAGAAATGAAGACAAGGACTAGTAAATAGGAAACCCTTTTCCCAAAGGTAACATGGAAGTGTATATTCTATTTCCTAGATGAAGGCAGACATAAGGCCTCCTTTTACCCAAGCGAACGTAGAGGCAATTCTGATGTGGAGTAGAAAAAGTCTGGGGAATGTAGGGTTCACAAGATATGGCTGAGAAGGGAGCAGACACCATAAGAAGACTGGAGAAGCCTCCTTCCAAAAGGAAAAAAAAAGTTAGTAGTGTCACCAGCCAGGGCTTCAGGGTTCAAGAACATGAAGGTATATAAGGGTGCTTCCTATTTCGAAGAAGACAGGAGACCCTGTAGCCAAAGGAGAGCAGTGTCAGTTGGTGAATGCTGCCCCTGGCTAGGATTCAAGGGTAAACAGGAAGAGCGTATGTCCCTTTTTGCTTCAGACATAAAAGTAATGATGTGGTCCCTTGATGCTCAAGTAGTAGGCACAATGGAGGAGGGCACTGGCCAAGCCTGAAGGAGTGAGCAGGGGAGGGACCCCACACACCAGGGAAGGAAGGAAAAGGGGGCATGGGGAAATTAAAGGATGCGTGTGTCACAGAGGAAAAGGAGCAGAGAAATACTTCGAGTTACTGTCATTTAAAAAAAAAAACCCAAACCACGGGTAACCCAAAGGGTTGCCAGCCAAAGGGCTCACCTTCACCCAGGGGGTGGTGGAGGGCAGGAGCGTCTACACGGCCAGTCAAGAAAGTGTCTGCTTCCCCTCCGAGAAAGGACTTGGGGGGTGCACAGGCCCCTGGGGTCCGCGATGGGAGGCGGGAGGCAGCTCCACTGCCCCTGTCCTGGCAAGGAAGGCCGGTCACTCGAGAGTTGTGCCCGGGGCCCAGCGGGGGGGAGGCTGGCGATCGGGGTCACGGCGGGGAGAGGAGGCGAAGGAGGGGGCGAGGCTCCGGCTCGTCCCTCGCCATGGAAACCGGAACCCCACCCTGCTGCCCGAGGGGGGCCGGGGCCGCTGCCCGGGGGCGGGGAGTCAGGAGGCGGAGCCCGCCGGGCCCTGCCGGGGCCGTGGCTGGGGGACCCCGGGGCAGGCGCGGCGGGGGCCCTCGCGCACATAAACTTTCCGCCCGCGGGCCCCCACCCCCGGGCCGGGCCGGGGCAGGAGCCGGAGCCGGGGCCGGGGCCGGGGGCCGGGGGCCGGGGGCCGGGCCGGAGGGATGCCCGGGCGGACGCCGGGGCCCTGGGCCGGCCCCCGCCCCGCACGCTTGGGCTCCAGCTCGGGCTCCGGCCCCT